TCTTGCGCTCCTCGTATACGCATGTCTTGCCAGATTGATCGAAAAGTGGTCCCCAAAGCAAACGCTCGTCCGAATCGATTGATAGAAATGACGGATTCGTAGTCATGCAGAATGCACATAGGAAAACCAGAGCTGGGCAGTATCGCGATACAAATGTATCGCGATAGTATCTTAGAGATACTTTCGAGTATCTGTATCTCTGTATCGAGATACATTCGCAAAATGTATTTGTATCTCAGTAGTGAAACACGTTTACAATGTATCGCGATACTTGACCCGACTTAGGCATCTCGTTACATTTGTTGCACTTTTTAAGATAAATTTAAAGAATAAAAACATCTGTTTGGTACAACTTGCTTCGAAATTTATAATATGAACCTGCCCTATAACATAATCCACCACAATCACCAACAACAACAAAAAAATTGTGGTTGAAAGAAGGTTACTTGCAAGAATAACGAAATCATGAACCTCTCACAAAGCCCTCCACTCCTTCCAATTTAGCGGAACGAACGCTGCAAAGGAGTTGAGTGGAGAAAAAGTATGGCCCTGTTGTCCAATCTCCCTACACTATGGGTGACTCAGAGGCTTATAATGTGACAGTTTAAGATGCGCCCCTCACCGCAAAACTGGGTTCATTGCTGGCACACGCCTTTTGTCAAGCAAGGTACGCAGTCTTTACCGTTCTGTAACTACGTGGTTCAACGGGGCTGACATGTTTTTTTTTTTTCTTTTTTTAGCGGAATCAATGATAGATAAAGAGTTCGAGGTACTGGGTAGTGCATAAAATGGCACAGAAAGAGGAGCACAAGCATAAATTACCTTTCGCATTCGCCACGAACTGCACCCTCTCCACGTATAACACCGTTCGGGAACAAATGTATTTCTATCTGTATTCCGGAATACTTTTTCGCCGTTATTGCGGAAGTATCTCAGGGATATCCCGTTGCATAAAAGGCAAATGTATCTCAGTATCTGTATTTTGGCCTTCAAACACATGTATCTCAGCATTTGTAAACCCGAATACTTTTTGGAGTATCTCTGCCCAGCCCCGAGGAAAACCCAATCAGGTTCAAGTAATTCCGTACGCACAGTGTTCAAAGTGCTCAACGACACGAATCTACAGTGAAACGAAACGGACGCAGCTTTGTGCGAATGTCACCATGTTCGTTAAAAATCGGAAAAAAAGAAAAGAAAGAGACTGTTGTGCGTATAGTGCAGGGGTGGCCAGGCTGACCCGGCCTAAGAGCCGCGAACAAAACCGCGAAACTTCCAAGACTTTCCTTAAAAAGAAACCGCGAAACTTCCAAGAAACTTCCCCTAAAAAGAGACAACACTAAACTAAAAAAAAAAAAAAAAAAAATAAGACACCAACACTTGCTTTGAAAACAAACAACCAAACAGACAATTAGCTCAATATTTAGGCCGCCAAATTCATTTTGACTCTCGCGACGTGCTCCTATTTCGTGCTTCTATTCACCTTGTGAATGCTAGTGAAAATAGTCCGGCACCTCGCGGAGCATTACGGATCTACTTCATGATGTGATGAACTAAGATACATCCGGGTGATTTCGAGATTAGCTTACCGTTATTTTATCAAGACGCACACGCTTCAAACGTGAAAGGCATCGTTTCTTCCTCCGACGACCAAATCTTGTAAGATCTACTTCCTGCGGCGGACGAATAATGCGCGAAACTTCTCTTTTTTTGTTTCCCCTTGATGTGACGTGCCAGTATAAAAGTACGTTTCGGAATCACTCCTCACTCAAGATGAGTCATGCGTACGACGTGAATATTACGCTAAATATTTTCTTTTTAGACGCTAATTTGGTGACATTCGTCTGCAATTCAGTTACCTAAGAAATATTTATTTTAGCTCTGCGATCCAGTCGCCCAAGAAATATATATATATATATATTTATTTATTTTTAGCTCAGTGTCCCTGTAATTTGCCACGTAAAGTTATAAAATAAGCAACGCCTCCGCGAGCCGCCAGTAAACCGTAAAACAGCGCCAAAAGACAACGGACCCCTATTGAAAAAGGCCAATATGAACTCGGCTTATTGGAAATATTGTATTCCAATGAAGTTGATGGAAACCAATAAAAACTTATTGTTATCCGATTAACCCAATACGCACGATGGGAATTCATATCGGAGCACAATATCCCGATATAGTATGTGGTTATTGGTATACAACAGGATATTGGAGCACAATATCCCGATATAACTTGCGGTTATTGGTATACAACACGATATCGAAGCACAATATCCCGACAGAACTTACGGTTATTGGAATAGAATACGACACCGCGTGCATATTGGTGACCGACATGGACATACTGCGCGGCCACACGATATATAAATATCGGTCTTCGATCACGGGCCCAAAGGAGAATACAATATCGCGTGGATAAATCTCAGAACGAATTCCAAGTTACCAACATGAATTACGTCGGCATATACCGCGGATTAAGAGGATACGTAACACAGTCTTGATCGCCCGTGAAGCAACATGTGGATATCGGTACGCCCACATATACGACATCGCGTGAATGATATTGTAGAACAGCAGGAGTTACCATACGGCAATACGAGAGAGAACGATATTGGAGGTGGATACACACAGAACACAAACGTTCCGCGTTGCAAACACATTCACGTTGATCGAAAGCGCAAGTGTACGTACGGCACACAGTACACACAGCCTCGAGCGCTTGAAATGCTAGACAACCACCAAACCATTCAGAATAACTAGCTGGGACACCCGCGACCTACCTTTCAATGAGAAAGCCCAATAACGACGTGCTCATTGGAGTGATCGTTTTCAAACAAATGTTTATTGCAGTTTTAATGCAACAAAAGTTAGGTTACCGATGTTGGAACCCAAATCGAGCGCGATACGTGACAATGTCAGTTCGCACGATAAAATAATGAGGATTCATGGGCTTGACAGGTCACGTGCTTCTTACCCGCACATTTATCGATATTGACCCACCTTTCTGGGTAATCCTACGTCGTACACAAAATCCACAACCACACACGAGCACATTTCACCCACCACTCTTCGTCGCCTGTTTCGCAAGATTCACACACTGTAAAAAACGGCGGGAAAAATACGTGCATTTGCGCCATCAAACGATACGTTACAGACTCGTTTTATGAGAAAAGTCCCCATCGTCAACCCGCGCGCGCGAAAGCTCGAGCGCTCAAGCTTCGGAGGCAGTTCGAATTCCGAAGGGAGGCGAGCCGAGCCAGACAAGCAGCTGAGCTAAAGTGAACTAGCTGAGCGAGCCGGCGAGCCGCCGAGTGGCCGAATCCGCCGATCCAGCCAAGCGCCGCGACCGCGCCAACCCGGCGAGACAACGGCGATGGTGGGACCGACAGATAACGGCTCGTCAAGTTCGTCGCGCACTTTGCTTGTGGGTTCCAAGTGAAACCAACGCACTTTCAATCGCTTCGAAAGGTACGTATAGACGACTTTATTACTTGCAGCATTGAGTGCTTTGGTATACACACATCAAAGTGAACACTGAAGGACAGAAGGGATACATGATGTTTTGAAATCGCAGCTTATTTGAACGCATGCGTCCCCTGCTGAAAGTCATTTCGACTGCGTGTACTCTGATGTAACTTCAGTCAGTGTTTACACTCAGCTAGCTATCACTCGGCTTGTTATCTCATGTGCGAAATAGACGTAGAAACCAGCGCCTCGTCTCTTTCAGATATTGAACCTCCAGCCCCCTGGCTCCCAGCGTGCTTACCGGCGCAAACCGTTCGACGTGTTGGATTCGTGGGCTCGTTCGAAGAGGCGTTGTTTAACGCTCGCGAGTCGCCGAAGTGTTACCGGAGCTTCTCTTTACGAAAGTCGCGATCGACGCTGGGCTCTGAGCTCGTATTTTTTTTTTTTTTTTTTCCTGGTAGACTAACCGCTCATTCACACTGGGAGCGGATCCGCGTTCGCAAAGCGGTTGCGAACGCGGTTGTATAAAGATCCAGTGCAATTGCACGCGCACTCGATGACATCAAGTGCGCGTGCAATTGCACTGGATCTTTATACAACCGCGTTCGCAACCGCTTTGCGAACGCGGATCCGCTTCCAGTGTGAATGTGCGGTTAGAGTGCCGACCATTCATCTGTGGTGCCGACTGGCGCCGTACGAAGTTGAGAAAAGCTAGCGAGTCTGTCAGATTTTCGTGACGCCGCCCAACTGCTCTGCTACCGGCTGCGCTCAAAAAATAAGGTAAAAAAAAAAAAAAAAAAAAAAAAAAAAACGCGTTTTATAATTTTTAACTTGTTTTTTTTTTTTTTTTTTTTTGCCATGTTTTATTTCAGTCGCCGCAAAGTAAATCGCGGCCGTACGTCTGTTGACTCCCGATTACTGTCTCTACATCGTAGATTGTCTCACCACAATGGTGCCTCGTTGGTGTGATCTTATTCTGATATCGTTACATCTTGCTTTTTCATCTTGGCACACTTCTAGACGACCTTCTCTACACGTTGCACTCCTTGTCGACATGTCGCTGGT